CTTAACAGACACGACTTTTTAGAACAGTATGTCTGTTCGGATTTTTGAGGCTTGTCTGAAAGGTGACGACTGTTCGAATGGCCACGAACAAGTCTATAAATAGCCAGCCTTTCTACCAGAAAATTTACACCATTTTCATTGCAAACTTTCTGTGCTTTGAATCTCATTTCCCTATCTCTCGTTCTGATATTATCTCGAAGTAAAAAAAACACTTCGTTGAGTTCGTTGGAACTCCTACAGACTGCAGTGCTGCTTCCGTAGGAGACGAAAAATTCGTTCTATCCTGGGAAACGATTGCTGAACGCCTTTAACACCATTGAAGGCAGCAAATTCGTTTTAAGGACACATCGTGAAGTCGGTGGGCTCGAATTACAATTTTGGATCCTGTTGATCAATTCTTGGATTCAGGTAATTCTGTCAGATTGTTTTCGAAGGAGTGTATTCAAACTCTAGAAACAACAATATTTTCAAATTCATCAAGTTACAGAGGAATTGAAGGTTGGAATTGCGGAGATGTATTTAAAGGGAAGGGCATATATCTGGTTCCATGGATTCTTAGCTAGTAATCCAAGTACCAATTGAAAACTATTGGCTACTGAAATTTGTAGAAGGTTTATTGAGATCATTGGTGAGGATATAGTAGAGACCTTTAGCAAAATCAGACAGATGGTGGTGTAGCTGAGTACATGGAGAAATTTGAGGATTTAAAAGCACAAGCTATGCAAGCCTTACCCAACCTACCTGAATCCTACTATATTAGCATCTTTACCAGTGGATTGAAGGGGGAGATTAAGTCCATGGTCAAGATGATTAAATTGAAGACCCTAACCCAAGCTTTTGAAGTAGCTCAACTCCAAGAGATCGCTATTTTTGCCATAAACAGGAACCCTAGACCCATTAAACCGTTTACTACATCAAAAAACCTTTACACTCAAAAATAATCCGAGTCATACAACCTAACTCCTAAAATGCTAACTCAAACTCAGAATATCCAAAACGCACCTTACAAAATCATTACACCCATTGATATCCAAACTAAAAGAAATTTGGGGCTTTGTAGGATTCAACTTAAATCTTACTTAAGGGAAAGGTCATGAGTTCGAATCTTGGGGGACGCGACAAAAAGCCGTGAGGGGTAAGTGGGCTCAAGGCCCACTCAAAGCGGACAGTACGTAAACTAACACTTTGGGTATAGATACCCAGGTCGTTACAAAAAAATTAGAATTCAACTTAAGTCTTACTTAAAGGAAAGGTCATGAGTTCGAATTTTGGAGGACGCGACAGAAAGCCATGAGGCGCAAGTGGGTGCAAGTCCACCCAAAATGGACAGTACGTAAGCTAACGGTTTGGGTACAGAGACCCGGGTTGTTACAAAAAATGCGCATTTTTTTGTAACGACCCAGGTCTCTATACCCAAGCTATTAGCTTTACGTACTGTTCGCTTTGAGTGAGCCTTGCGCCCACTTGCCCCTCACGAATTTCTGTCGCGTCCCCCAGGATTCGAACTCATGATCTTCCTCTTAAGTAAGACTTAAATTGAATTCTGGTACCAATTGGGCAAGTCGAGAGATATCCGTGAGGATCTCTGTACCCAAGTCGTTAGTTTACGTACTGTCCACTTTGGGTGGGCCTTGCGCCCACTTGCCCCTCACGGATTTCTGTCGCATCTCCCAGGATTCGAACTCATGACCTTTCCCTTAAATAAGACTTAAATTGAATTTTGGTACCAATTGGGCAGTACGTAAAGCTAACGGCTTGGGTACAGAGACCCGGGTGATTACAGGAAGCACCCATAGCTTTGTTGATGAAAGGTTGGTACATTCTTTGGGATACTCGACTGATGATGCTAAATCAATGATGGTGACTGTAGCAAATGGAAAAAAGCTTGAAAGTAAGGCTATATGTCAACCGATAGCTTGGCAAGTGCAAGGGCTGGAGTTCCAATACAGATTAAGGTCCCTAAAACTTGAGGGCATGACATGGTTTTGGGGGTGAATTGGCTCAGCCAATTTGGACCAATAACCTTTGATTTTACAAAGGGATATATTAAATACATGCATAATGGGAAAAAGGTGAAACTAAGTTGTGAGTTTACTAGTAATAAAATGGAAATGATCAGTGGGGAGCAACTAGAGAGATGGTTTGAGAAGCAAGACTATGGAATCGTGGGACAACTGTTTATCATTACAGAGATAGATTCAGCAGAAACACTAGAAGAACTCAAGCCAGTTTTAACTGACTTCAAAGATGTGTTTGCAGAACCTAAGGGGTTACCTCCAATCAGAAGCCATGATCATTAGATAAACTTGAAAGAAGGGGTTTAGACATTCAAATTCAGGCCATATCGATGTCTCTTCATCCAAAAAATTGAGGCGAAAAGATTGGTTAAATAGATGTTAGAGTTAGGAAGTATTCAACCTAGTAACAGCCATTTTGCTTCTCCCGTGCTGCTAGTCAAGAAAAAGGATGGAACCTGGAGGTTTTGTGTTGAATACAGACAGCTTAACAACCTGACTGTGAAGGATAAATACCCTATGCCCTTGATTGATGAACTCTATGGAGCTAAATATTTTTCTAATATTGATTTTAGAGTAGGATACCATCAGATAAGGGTTAGGCCAGAGGATGTTTATAAGATAGCTTTCAAAACTCATCAAGGTCTGTTTGAATTTAAGGTCATGCCTTTTGGGTTGACCAATGCTCCTGCTACCTTCCAATGTTTGATGAATGAGGTGTTTAAAGAGCAGTTGAGAAGATATGTGCTAGTTCTTTTTTGATAATATACTAATATATAGTGTGGATATGCCCAGTCATTGTGAACATCCGGGGATTGAGTCGTATGCAAAGTTAAGAAAATGTACTTTTGGACAAAAGAAGGTGGAATACCTCGGCCGTGTGATTGATTAGCAAAGGGTATCAGCAGATCATAAGAAAGTAGAAACAATGCAGTCATGACCTGTGCCAACTAATATCAAACAACTAAGAGGATTTCTTGGCTTGATTGACTACTATAGAAAATTCGTGAAAGGCTATGGGACATTGGCCAAGCCTCTCATCGATTTGCTAAAGAGGGATAATTTTCTATGGTCAGATACAGTAGAGGCAGCCTTTAATAATCTTAAGCTAGCCATGAGTTCCACTCCAGTGCTGACCTTACCCAACTTTGAGCAACCTTTTATTGTGGAAACTGATGCTTGTTATGGAGACATTGGGACAGTATTAATGCAGGACAAGAAACCTTTGGCTTACATCAGTAAAACCATTGGACTAAGGAGCTTGGGAATGTCAATATATGAGAAAGAACTCTTGGACTTCGTTACTGCAGTGGTGAAATGGAGACATTACTTTGAAGGTCACCACTTCATCATCAAAATTGACCATCAATCCTTGAAACTCTTGCTTGAACAGAGGATAATTACTCCATTACAGCAAAAGTGGCTAACTAAGTTGATGGGTTTAGATTATGAGATCTAGTACAAAAAGGGTTTGAGAATGTGGTAGTGGTGTGCTTTCTAGGAGGATAGAAAATGATGGGAAGTGTGCTGCCATTACCCAGTTAATACCAGCGTGGATACATGAGGTGATTTCTAGTTATGAGGGAGATGATTTGCTGAAAAGAAGATCCAAGCCTTGCTTTTGGATCCAGTTGCAAATGCTGAATATTAGTATAAAAACGGGTTGATTAAGTACAAGGATAAGCTGTATATTGGCAATGGGAGAAATATCAGGAAGAAATTGATTCAAGCTATACATGACTCCCAAAAAGGGGGGCATTCAGGAATACATGCTAGCATATTTAGAGCTAAACAACACTTTTATTGGGTAGGCATGACGCAAGAAATCAAAAAGGAGGTGTTACAATGTGAAATTTGCCAGAAATGTATGGATGAACACTTATCATATCCAGGCTTTCTGCAACCTCTGCCTGAACCTCAACATTCGTGGAGTCATATATCCATGGACTTTATTGAGGGGCTACCAAAATCTGAGGGAAAGGATGTCGTCTTAGTGGTTGTAGACAAATTTACCAAGTTTGGCCCCTTTTTCACTCTCTCATCTTTTTACAACAAAGAAGGTGGCACAAATATTCCTGGATCATATTTATAAACTCCACGGCATGCCTCAGAGTATTATCTCTGATAGGGACAAGATTTTTACTAGCATATTTTGGCAGGAGCTATTTAAACTCATGGGGGGCAAATTTGTAGCCCAGTTCAGCGTACTATCCACAGACAGATGGCCAAATTGAGAGGTTAAATCAATGTTTGTAACTGTATCTCAGGTGTATGACACACCACATACCTAAAACATAGGCTAAATGGGTATCTTTAGTCGAGTGGTGGTACAATACCACTTTTCATTCAGCCATCAAGAGAACACATTTTGAGGCTGTATATGGGATTCCACCACCACAATTAGCTATGGGACCTTATCAGCAAACAAGTGTTGCTATGGTAGAAGATGTTTTACAAGATAGGTATAAGATGGATCAACAATTAAAGGAGAACTTAGCATAAGCTAAAGCCAGGATGAAGATGTACGTCGACAAAAATAGAACTGAGAGAAATTTTCAAGAAGGTGACGGGGTATATTTAAAATTACATCCATATCAACAGCAGACTCTTGCTAAGAGGATTAATCAGAAGCTCAGTCCTAGGTACTATGACCCTTATCAGATTGAAAAGAAGATTAGAAATGTAGCATATCGCCTAGCACTTCCCAGCCAAGCAAAAGTTCACTCGGTGTTTCATGTATCATTACTTAAACGGAAGATAGGAAGCAAAGAACCAATGGAAGAATTGGGGGAGAAGAAGGCAAAGAACCAACCGTAACTAGCTTTCAGAATTGGGGTCAACAAAAGTGTCTTTTGCTTATTGTGTTTTTTGTAAAGGGAATACGATTACCATTCATTTTGTATTTTCAAGTTACGTATGTACAGAACAGTGGAGAAATGAGTTTCTTTGTTGATGTAAAATCATTTCTATCAATCAATTCTCTCACTTATTTCTTCTACTTCTATATTTTCTTCTTTTTCCTCTAACTCTATCTTCACCCATTCTCAATTTTTGTGATTAATTCAGCAATTGGGCTAAGAACTTAGTTCCTTGAGCTGTGATTTTGAGTGAGTTCATTCCCAGGTTGAACTTCACTCATTACAGAGTGGTGAGAGGTACAGGGTGATGGAAGAGGCCGTGTCTGAGGTTGAGGTGGCTGTTGCGACGAGGCATCTCCACGTGCAGTCAGTGATTGGGTCTTGGTATAACATGGGATTGACCAGGGATTTGAGCCAAGCCAATTTGTTCTTCTCTCACTCTTTTTGCAGCTGAGGATGGGAATTTGCAGTCCAAGATGGCATTGGCTTATGCTTATTACCGTCAAGAGGTAAGTTTTAAAGTTGATATTGGTCGATTGATTAATTGATAGATAGAAGGATACGAGTAAAAGGGTTTCGCATTGCTACTATTCAATTGAGAAATTTTGAATTTTGTATTGGTTAGTCATAAACCCCATAACTCTCAACAGTTGTGACAATTACCAGAATTTTCTGTCGTCAAGTGCCTAGCTTTTCAACAATAGAATTCATAATTTTCTGTGAAAGCTACATGATTCACACATAGAAATCCATCAAGTTCCTTGAACATATTTAACCATTAATAGTAAAGAACACGAAATTCATTCCGTTTCTTATGAAAAAAGTTGAGACTGAATGGTCAAGAAAAAGTTTGAAACGGTCAGCTTCAAATTCCTAATTCTTGGAGCGAAATCTTCAATCTCGTCCTTCGTAGAGGAAAGCTAGAATGAGCATCTCCTGTCAAACTCTTACCTCATAAGATTTCACACAGACGTTTGTTATATGCTAAATTTGAAGGTTTAAAAAGCTGCGGTCTTGACAATTAAAGACCCCCACTTGCAGCCTTTGTGTTACTGATTACAGTTTTAGTTTTGTTATAATATGATGATATACTTCTTGTTTCTTATATTATCCAATCTGGCCCATTGCTGTGTGCAAACTGCGCACTAAGTGTTCCTCGCATTCCTTTGTTTATATGCCATTCAATTTGGTACATCGTGTTCGATGTCTTTACTTATGTCAAGATTGTGAAAAGGCATCATGCTAAAGGACATCTTTGATACGCAATATAGACAAGATTGGATGGTATGGTAGGCAAGATTGAAGTTTCTTTTTTGCATATGTTGCTTTTTTCTTGTTTTCCTTTATTTTCTCTTTGTTCATCAAGGAAGATAATATCTTGTTCATTCAGAAGCTGAATCAGTTGCCTATAGTTCACTTATTATATTATCCTATTCTGTATCTAGCTTGCTCTTCCAGGAATCACATGGTCTGCCTCTTGGCCCTGTCTTATGCAGCTAAAGTCAAAGAAGCACTTGATCCTTTTCTTTTGAAGTGTTTTGAACTACTGGTTTTTATATAGAATCGAATAGTAATTATTTTCTTTCTTTGGGAACAATTTTATTCCCTATCCTTGCTTTAAGAGCCTTTCTTTTTACTATATCTTCATTTAGGAGAGTCTTTAGAAGATAACTACTGCTGCTCAAATATGTCATAGAGTCGCTTTTACTTCTTTGTGGACAAAACAAGAGAAAAGCTTCTCACATGAAGTTAAAAGAAAGTAGCTTATACCTTGGCCAAACCTGTTACGAGTTCTAACATTTTGAAGAGGTAGTTTTGGTGCTTCTACTTTTGTTTAGTCATTTTCCCTGCTAATGAATTGTTCCTATATTTACATGGAGGATATTTTTCATGTAGAATTGTATTGTCTTGTTGCAGATGATAGGAACAAAGCCATTTACAAAATATCTTGGCTAATGGAAAAGTAAATATCTTAGTAAGTTTGTATATAAAAGATGAAAACCTAAGAGTTTTATTCCTTAGCTATGAGAACTCAGAGAAGGTGGAGGAACTATATTGACAAATTATTTAAAGAATGATAGAGTGGATAATTGGTATTTGATTTAGTCCACTGTAGAAAGGAATTTTATTATACTATAAGAATTCAATTTCTATCCAGGATTGATTGTATAAAGAGGACGAGGATGATAACAGAGTGAGCCTAGATGGAATTGGAAATGTTTGTGCGAGATGGGTATTGTGTCTCCATAGTAAGAAACACTTCTGAATTATTCTAGGAGATCTACAATGGAAGCCATGCACATGCTTGGATCATTATTGAGAAGTATAGTGTAACGACCCAAATCATCATAATTTAATTCGCTACAATTTTTTTAATTTTAAAATGCGGACTACATATATCCATTTGCATATAAACATATACGAAAATTTATTTATAAATAAATGTTCATTGCAATAAATTTAAAATAAATTAAATTAGGTGCTAACTTAGATCTTTAACCAATGAGACAAGGCACCAACACACCAACGAACCACCACGCTCCGACATAACCCGATCTACCCTGTGAGGTGTAGGGAAAAAGGGTGAGTACATGGAAATACTCAGTAGGATATAAAAATTTTAATGGTGCAATCCCGAATAAAAATTTTAAACACATGTATCAGAATATCATACCGTCTCATATCTTTAAAATTCGGTAAGAGCTCATAACATATCGTATCATATCATATCATTGTACCGGAATGGCCATATCATTCATATCATAGAACATCATATCATAGCATTAACTTTCATGAGTATAAAATTCATCAATATGTAAGAATAATAATTAAACGGGACAAAAAGCTTTGCACCTCAATATCCTACCTTGATGGATAAGAAGAATTGTTGGAAGAATAGCAATTACTTCACGTTCCCAAAGCCTTTTCTCTATTATCGTGTCTATAAGTGTATTTCGTCCGGTAAAAATATCATCCCTCTATTAATTCCAACTTAATGTTCTTATTTAAGGTATAGAATAATCATTCCATGTAGATATCCACGTGAGCCACCTAAAATTCTGCTATCAAGCATATGGACACTCAATTGCTATAAAATGGCATAAAATTACTCAATCATTCAATTTTTATAAAGGCACACGTTTTTATAACTAATGAATTCCAAAAAGGTCAACCTAGTTAATTTTATAATAAAGGACATTCTTTGAACTTTATATTTTTGGGCCTAACTATTTTGATTAACCTTCTTTTTTTTTTTGGTTAAAAATTTCTAATTAATTACAAGTTACAAAAAGAGTCTAATATTGGTATACTAAAACTTGCTCCATTAAATCTAATTATTTGACTCAAAGAAATGAGAATTTAAAACAATTAATTCTATTCTATAAAATTTTTCAGGGCTTTACATATAGAGAAAAAAGAAGATTTAGAATTGTCTTTGATTAAGTTAGAGAAGTCCATGATCGGCACCTACGGAAGACTATGGTGAGTGGTGAAAGAAATTGGATTTCTACTAGATATATTGATATTATTAAGGAAACATCGAAGCTTGAACTGGTACTTGTTATCTTCCACTTAATGCTAATTGATCTTTGTGAGAGCTCTTAATATATGAGCCATTGGTTGAAATATAGATTGTTATGAGTTGTCAATCAATTATGAATTTCATTACCACTTAGTTTTTATCTCCTCTTTTCTTTTATAATGTGATTTTATTTTATTTTTTTGGTGCAGTCAAGGTAAAAGGCAATGGCGGATCTATAACAATTGCACAGTATTCATGTAAGGATTACTGCGCCATATTATTTTAAAGTTTAGATTTGTTTCGACCTTTTTTTTTTTTTTTTTTTTTTTTTTTTTTGGGCTGGCTAAATTCTGGGGTATTCATATTCACTTGGTTGGTCCATGTGTTAATAATTATATATTTCAAATGTTATTAGTTATCTTGCATCTTGATGTATAATTATATTTTAAGAATGCACTGGAACTTTTTCTTTCCCTTCTTTTTTAACAAATATGTTTCCTTTAATACCCTTTTTTAGGCTCAATCTTAATTTTTTTTTTTTTTTTCTGGGGCTTATTTAAAGAGTCGAAAGGCATGTAAATGAGTGAAAAGGATGACATTGTGATCTCAGCCCTTGTTTGAGTCACATTATTTTCATCAAAATATATTCTTCAACAGTGATGTGACCCTATTTCAACCAAATATTTTCTATTAAAATAATATTAGACGCAAATCTAAATCTTTTATTTAATTTTTAATCACACATTTTTCATCAATATACTATTCAAAAATGCATTTTTTGACAAGAATGGAGCTCAAACGAGGGCTTAATATGTCTCGTGATTATTAGTTGACCTATAAAACCATGTATTGAGAAGAAAGTGTATATTCTTGTTAAACTGTTGTCATCTTCTGTTATTTATGTGATTTGTGGGGTTCTTGGATCATGACTCACTGTTCTGTGAAGTGATGGATGGCTTTGTAGTATCTTCCAGCTTGGAATTGGATTAATGTGATATTCAGCTGCCTAAAATTAAATTTGCTCCCTGATTCATCTATTCATATAGTGCACAAATTAGTAGTTGATTCCTTGCTTGCCTAAATATACAGAGTTGGATGAAGGTCAATATCAATGCCAGCATCGGCATCCACTTACCAGACAAAATGTTCGTGGTTTTACCAAAAGAATAGGAATAAGCATGTACGTAGAGATGTTAAAATGAGCAACTTGTTATTTGTGTTCATAATTAGCTGTACATTTTCTTGCCTTCGGGTTCATTTTGGATCAAGGGCGGAGCCAGAAATTAATGCTACGGGGGGCAAAAAATTTTATGTACAAATAAAATTTAAATATAATAAAAAAAATTTCATAATATAAGTTTCCTATTGTAGTTGTACCTGACGATATTTTACAACATAAAATTCATCTAAAAGCATAAAAATAAAATGCTTCAATATCCCATAAAGACATAATCATAAATTGATAAAATCATAACCATAAATCATCAACACAAATTACACAATTGCACAGTATATAGCTTAACGGCTGTTTTAAGTGGACATTATCTTTGTTTAATTAATAATTACCAATAGATAACTTTCCAAATTTCCAATTCTAATTTACTATTTGCTATGAAATGAGATTTTTCATCCAACGTCAGAGACTAACCTTGAACCTCCTCAACTAGTTCAACAGCCTTTGGAGTCTTGGACCCTCTTCTTAGCAAATAGTACAGACACAATACTTCAAAGAATAAAAATGCTTCACCTACAATTAAACAAAACCGAAAAAATAAGTGGGTCAAAGGAACGGGATTATCTTTGAAGAAAAATATGAAATGGGACAATGGGTGAAAAGATTTAGGGTTGAAAGATTTTGATTTTTGGAATTATTTCAATTGGTTTTGCAAAAGCCAAAGGAATGGGATTATACGTGAAGAAAAACAGGAGAAAACGGGACAATGGGTGTTGAATTTATTGATTGCAAATAAGTGGGCCAAAGATTAAAACAAAAAATCATTTGAGGTGGGCAAATCCATTGAAATTAATTGTTGGTGGGCTAATGTGAGCTAATAGATTACAATTCAACCAAAAAAATTATTATTTTTAGTGTATTGGACCTAGGCAACAGTAGGCTGTAGCTAAGTGCAGCCCACCATTAGATCCGCCAGTGGACATAATCATAAATTGATAAAATCATAACCATAAATCATCAACACAAATTACACAATTGCACAGTATATAGCTTAATGACTGTTTTAAGCGGACATTATCTTTGTTTAATTAATAATTACCAATAGATAACTTTCCAAATTTCCAATTCCAATTTACTGTTTGCTATGAAATGAGATTTTTCATCCAACGTCAAAGACCAACCTTGAACCTCCTCAACTAGTTCAACAACCTTTGGAGTCTTGGACCCTCTTCTTAGCAAATAGTACATACACAATACTTCAAAGAATAAAAATACTTCACCTACAATTAAACAAAACCGAAAAAATAAGTGGGTCAAAGGAACGGGTTATCTTTGAAGAAAAATATGAAATGGGACAATGGGTTAAAAGATTTAGGGTTGAAAGATTTTGATTTTTGGAATTATTTCAATTGGTTTTGCAAAGGCCAAAGGAACGGGATTATACGTGAAGAAAAACAGGAGAAAATGGGACAATGGGTGAAAAGATTTAGGGTTGAAAGATTTTGATTTTTGGAATTATTTCAATTGGTTTTGCAAAGGCCAAAGGAACGGGATTATACGTGAAGAAAAACAGGAGAAAATGGGACAATGGGTGTTGAATTTATTGATTACAAATAAGTGGGTCAAAGATTAAACAAAAAATCATTTGAGATGGGCTAGTCCATTGAAATTAATTGTTGGTGGGGTAATAGATTACAATTCAACCAAAAAAAATATTTTTTTTAGTGTATTGGACCTAGGCAACAGTGGGCTGCAGCCAAGTGCAGCCCACCACTAGATCCGCCAGTGTTTTGGATGTTCTTTTCATTCCTTCATACGGACCATGACCATCTCTTGTAAATGCATTCATGAGTGATGAAAGCACAAATGATAGGTCTACATTTTTTTCTCGTTTCTAAGGTCATTTTGTTAACAATTATACATTTTACATTTTTATATGCGCGCCAATATGTAGCCATTACATTATGGCACGTGTCTTGCACGTCAAAGGAACTTGGAAAAATGGAACAGCGATTCCACAACATGAAAAATATCAAGAAAAAACTAAACTACATAAATTTCACATTTTTCTAATCGCATAAGGATTTAAATTAATGTAATCTTCAATTTAATAACTAAATACAGTAAAACCTCTATAAAATAATAATGTTGAGACTAGTATTTTATATTTTTATAAAATAAATGAATATTTATTGATTTATAAAGTATTTTATATTTTTATATCTAGTATTACTACAATTCATTTAGGAAATTAAAAAAAAAAAATATTGAATGTGATGAAATTTAAAATTTAAAATTTAAATTTTAAGTACATAAAAAGGCGCACACAAACATTAAAAAGGAATTATTAATGTTAATGCATTGACTTCAAAATTTAATATCTTCAAAGATAAATCGTTCGAGTAATTCCATGTATACATGGAACATAATTTCCACTTTATTAGTTTTTAGCTTTGTACAAAATGATAAAAAAATGCCAAATTTAATATATGCATTGCAAAAAATTAGGGATGAAATTGAATTTAATTTAAGTGCAAAGAAAAAGCAAAAAACTTTAAATATAGGTGAATTGAAAAAAAATTGTTGTCAAATTTAAAGTTCATTAATTTGTATTAGTACGTATGAATGAATTTAAGTAGTTATTATTTTATATATTCGTTGGGCTTTCAAGGATCTTTAAAAAAAAAAAAAATTAAAAAAATTATATTTTAATGCAAATAGTAGAGTTATTAATTTAGTACACTAGCAAGTTGACTCAAGAAAATGAAATAAAAAAGTATAAATTTCAAATCCCGTCTTAGCTTTACTTTTACAAGTCATTTATCCGTAAATATGTAAATGAATAGAGCTTATAAACATGCAGTTTCTTTTTCGATTTACTGCACACAAGAAAAGGATCTCCTTTTTCCATTTCCCCTATTTGGGAGGTAGAAGAAACATAGCCATCGACTCCAGAAATGGAAAATGATTTAATACATAGTACATGTAAGGTGGATAAGCCTGGATTAACTGAATTTTGTTGAAGAAGAAAACCACAAGTTTACTCAAATTTGTGCATTCAATTCTGCTTTGCCACAAGTTCAATATCAGCTCCAACTTCAGCAATCTTGACATCTTTAGATGATTTTGCTGCTTTAGCGATGTTCTCAACATCAAAGTCCAATGCTATTCTTCTCACAAGACCTTCAAGCATCTGTGTTTCGAAACAGAATAAGCAAAGATAAGAACCAAAGAAGTTGAAATGCAAGCGGTTTGAATGAAAAAAAATTGATTTCATGATTGGCGAGCAGATGACTTTTGAGCATCTTCGGCTAAGCTTGAAAAGTTCACATAGAATATATATATATATAAGCTTAGCCAAACATGCTTTTACTCTGAACGAAATTACTTTGAGGTAACCAGAGTCCAGGAACCGATCACGTAAAGCAGGCTTACCAGTGATCCAATGGCCACCAGAGCCCGGAATCTCGAATCAGTTTCAACACTTTCCTCTTCTGCAATCTGTGGATACAAAAAATAAGCGCCACATATAATGTAAGAACAATTTAAAATCCTGCAAAGTTCTGCTAGATCCCATTATACTAGTTTTCTGGAATGAGAAAATAGGAAAAGATACCTCTAAGGCTGCTGATAGAACTTGGGATTGACCTTCTTCATCCTTTTTCTCAATCAAAAGAACAGCAAAACTGCCGAACTCAAAGAAAATTAACTCAAGCCCTTGAATCAAGGGAGAAAATAGATTAATCATTCAGCTACTTACTTGAGTATCAATGTTGCATAGGACAATTGCACATTTTTATTTGAAGACGAGTAAAAACTTGAGAAGGCATCGAGAATCTACAAGATCAGTAAATAAAGAACTCCACAATGAGTATACAAAAAGTAGTGAAAATGTAACATGAATGCATGATAAGTTATAGGATACAAATTTAAACCTAAACATTCTGTTCTGCCTACATTTTCTCAAGCACTTAAAGATGTCAAAAGAGACTGACCTCCATGCGATGGAGTCGTAACCATTCATGAAAGCACGAGCTTTTGAAAAGATTAGTCACAGCACGGAGGCTGGTCAGAAGATTTGCGGGAAGTGGAGGACTAGCGGTGACCTTCTTGATTAACTCCATAATGGTATCTGGTGAAAACCAGTTATACAGGAAGTAAGAACCACAATGGGATGAAATACAAATTGGGAAAAATAAATAAAATGAAAATTGTACAAATGCAAACGTGAAAAAGGTTAGATGCAAATCTAGATTAGGTACCATTTCCATCCTTGACATGCTGGAGCAGCTTAATTGCACCATCTGGGTGCAATACAGTCATCCTCATTACATCGACAACTGCAATAAATAAATAGACATTGAAAAACTTATCTGCAAGACTAACAAATAGGCACTTGGGTGATTGACAAAAGACTTGCAAGTAGAATTAATAATCATTATGAGAGAGGTAGTTTTGTTAGGGATGGGTAGGGTGGTGATGGGCGATTTTTATCTGGTTATGGACTACTGATAGACCCTAGAGGTAGTTAGTAGTTGAAACTGGTGGTTCTAATGGTAAGCACATAAATGGAGGCAGTTATTATGTCTTTTAATTCCATAATTAAAGACTCGTAAAAGCTTTTGCAGACTGCTATATATCTCATTACCATGTTGTAATAGGGTAAGAATCACTTTGATCCCATCATACATACTAGGATTAGGTTATTCTTAAAAGTATTCCCAATTTTTATTTATTATTATTATTTTTAAATCCATTATATCTATTCTATTTTTTTTATCTTGGTGATTCCCCTTTCTTTATGATACCAATCCGAGCATTTCCCTATACACATACTAATATATGAGAGACAATTAGCACCCAAGAAAAACTTCAGATAAAAAAGCATTATTACCTGGAAATATCATTGCAAGTGGCCATGTTTTCAGCAACTTTACTATTAATGCAACATCTAGGTCTGAAAATGTACTGCTATGATAATGTGATGTATCCTTTAAAATTTTAACGATGCTGCCCAGTTTCAACATATCACCCTCGGTCAGCGATAAATGTTGTTTCTCC